AGCCGCGTCCCTGCGGCCGCCGCCGGTTCCCCCCAGCGAAGCGCCGCCGCGGGCTCCGGGAGGAACCGGCCCTGCTCGGGCTCTGCGCCGGCGGCGGCGCTTTACCGGGGGGCACGGCCGCCTCCCCCGGGGGACTCGGTCTCCTTCCTCGAGAGAAAAGATGTCCGACACGCAGGCAGGAAAGACTTTGTGCAGTTCGTTGGCAGTTGCCTGTTGCCAGAAAGGAGGCGCTCCCACAGCAAGGCTTCCAAAGGCAGCCCTTCAGTTATAATGAATTACACTGTCATCAGTGTAGTATTAACTCATTCAAATTAACAGTAAATTGGCTTGACAATGCTGCACAGACTTCACATTTTTCATTTGCCTCTTGTCAACACAGGAAAATTCCACACTCTGCACGCCGGTACCCCCGGCACGGTAACACGCACTCAGAAACACACACGTAATGCACCGTGTTGGATTTAATTCTGAGATTATAAAAGCTTCATTAAATCTATCTTACAGAGTGTTTATAGGTATTTTTTCAGCTTCCAGAGAGTAACCCAAGGTTATACACTTTTTTTTTTTTTTTTTTTTTTTTTTTTTTTTTTTTTTTTTGCACAAGGCAATCTCACAACAGGAAACTAATCTTGACAAATGACCAGACTTTGATATCTGTGATCTAAACCACTGCTCATTAGACTGTTCATTTTATAAACGAATGGTAATAAACCTGTTGAGAAGTGTAGGATAGCAGGAATACTTTACAGATCACCCCTTTACAGGTTCCAATCAAAGCCGTAAATTTGAAGGGGAGCATGCAGATAGTCTGTGCTGAGACAAAGACTGTCCCACACCAACCACATTTTAAGAAATAACTCCTTTTGCTTTCTATAAATTTTACAAATAATTTGCATAACTCTGACTTTTTACCCCCATGGCTGATTATCTCCAGCTCTCTTAAGTTAATGTCAAACCTCAAAATCCTTGGACTTGTTAAAGTATGTGGAGAGTGGAAATCAAATGCCTTTATTAGAAGCCCCAGGAAATCTCCGACTCCTAAGCACAACGAAAACATTCCAAAGAAAATTGTTCAAAGAGGACAAAGGAGAAAAGCAGAACAAGAAAACCTTGTTTTGAATCAACGATAGCAAGAGTTTTATAAATAAATTCTGTTGCCTGGACAATTTTGAAAGACAACTCAATAGGTTTAGGAGTTTTTAAGTGTGTTTGCCTCTATGCCTGAAACACTTGGGGGATTCAGCTGAGCTAAAGCTTGGAACAATGGCCTGTCTGTCCATCTGAGTATTTGTAATAATCGCTGCGAAGCAACTTTACAGTACTAGACAGTCAAAAAATCTTCACCAGCTAAAAGTGGGTGAACCTCGCAAATTAATTTTGCATATATATTAGGGGCAATGAAAACACTAGGACATGTGGTCCTGTCTTTAAACAGTAGATGAAAATGTTCCCCAGCGGAAGAGGCCATAAAGATTTTATTTGTTAGGATATCCCTGTGAAGTCGGGCTGCATCAGTAATCTTTAGAAACAACCACAGTTACATGATCCATTGTGCCTTCCTGCATGGGCACAACCATCTGGCGTTTAATACGTACTACTGATTTATTATCTCGCGCGTAGTTATCTTGCAGCGAGTTTGACCCTGTATGCTCCTGAGGATCACGGTTCTGCTGTTTACCCTTCTGATGTCCTGACAACCCACCCTTTACCTTCCTATTGCTCACCCAGGTCCTTCATTTCCTCCTGTCTGTGGGCAAATAGATTTTAATTGTTTTATTATAACTAATTTAATCTGTGCTGAGAGATCTCCATGTGCAGAGCGAAATTTGCTGTTAACATTAAGTGTGGTTCAAGAGGTTTGTTACACAGGACAGAGGTATAAAAATAGACTAATTCAGTCAGGTTGTTTATTTACTGGACCTCTGCCGTGGAGCAGTAAATAGGAAGTTATTAAGCCCTATTTGATATATGCAAGAGGACAGATGCTGCTGTCTACCTATCAGAGACATTAAATCGTTTTCCTTTCTGTGTTATTCTGACATTATGTGTTGCAAGAAACCACAGCAGATACCTGGCTTTTCTTTATTTAATAAACATGCAAAGAGGGTGGTCACAAGCTTTTGGAAATATTGCAGGTATAGTCCCTAGCTCTGATGCTTTTCCTTCTGGTAACAGCCTGTGACATCCCCGTCGTGCCTACACAGCCAGCTGGGAGTTCGCTTGGCACTCGTATAGTATGAAATATGTTAGAGCTGAAGAAAAATATATTGTGCTTTTCACACAACTGAGTTTTATTAAGAGAAGAAATTAAATTACTAATGAATGACATCTGTTACTTGTTCTCTGGGAGAAATTTTGATACTTCCGTCTTCTTTAGATGACATAGAATGGGGAAAACTTATGCACGGGGGCTTTTTCCAGCATAGGACTTGAACATTTCTGTAGAGTCTTACAGCTCATGGGTGCTTATAAAAAAGAAAAACTGTTGCTTGGTTACACTGAATTCAGAACATTCAAAACATCTCAAATGCACTAAAGCAAAACAGAATTATTATAATTTTATGATCTGAAAAAAAAAGAAACCCTAAAAAAAGAAACAATCCATTTTAAATATTTTCCCTGCAGAAAAAAATTACATAGTTTATTAAAGCCAATTTTATAGCTGAAACTTCAGTAAAAGAAAGCTAATTCCGTTTCACCAAGTAGTAATAAGACACGCACAAAAATTAAAGGTTTCTAGAAAAAAAAACCCAACTATTTCGAGAGAAACTAAAACAAAGAAACCTCTTTCTTCTTCAGGAAGAACCGAAGAAAATATTTGTTAACCCTCTATCCACAGGTGCTGTAGTGAGAACACCAACTACCGGCGAGAGCTCGTGTTTAAAACTGCGCTTCAACACGTCCATTTGCATTTGGAGATTAAAACGCATCACAGCTCGGTACCGAGTTACTTTTTCTTCCCATGAACATTCTACTTGTATTTTCATAAGAATGAAAATTGCACTGCCACACAAAGACAGCCTAACGGAGAGAATGATGATAGGGACCACGTGTTACCCCATGCCAAGTGAGATCTTGCCCTGAAGCT